ACCAACCCAACACTTGGGAGGCTTGGGCAGGCAGAACTCTTGAGTTGGAGGCCAGCCTGGTCTACAGTGCAACTTTCAGGACAGCCAGGGCTACAGTGAAACCCTGTCTCAAACAACAACAACAAAAACCAAAAAGCCAGACTCTAAGTCCTGGACCAGCTATGGGGATGTGGAGACAGGAGCATCCCCGGGGTCACAGTCAGCCTGGCAGAGCTGGTGAGTCCAATGTCAACCTCTGGCCTCCACCCCCCACCGTGATGGTGCGCACCTTTAATCCCAGCACTCGGGAGGCAGAGGCAGGCAAGTGGAGTCCAGCCTGGTCGACAGAGAGAGTTCCAGAACAGCCAGGGCTACACAGAGAAACCCTGTCTCGAGAAATAAAACAAAGGGGGCTGGAGAGATGGCTCAGCGGTTAACAGCACCGGCTGCTTTTCCCAGAGGTCCTGAGTTCAGTTCGCGCCCAGCACCCACATGGTGGCTCACAGCCATCTGTCATGAGATATGGGGTGCAGGCAGAACACTGCATACATAATAAATACATTAATCTTTAAAAAAAATAAAAAATAAAATAAAACAAAGACCCAAAGCTCCAGGCCCTGCAGGCACAGCGCGCTGTGTCTGCCCAAGCAAGGTCCCCAGGGAGGTCTCCTGAGGAGCTCGTGAAGACACCCTCCCCCACCTCTGTCCTCAGTCTTCAGGAAGATGGTCCAGTCCCGCGTGGGTGACTCCTTCTACATCCGCACGCACTTCGAGCTGGAGCCGAGCCCACCCTACGGCCTGGGCTTCACTCGTGGTGACGTCTTCCACGTGGTGGACACTTTGTACCGTGGCTCAGGGTCTGGCTATGGTGGCCGTGGGGGCCTCTGGCTGGCTGCCCGCATGGGCAGAGATCTCCGAGAGCAAGAACGCGGCGTCATCCCCAATCAGAGCAGGTGGGAGGAGCTCCCCAGGCTCAGTTTCCCCATTGCTAGGGCTCCCTGGGGTGAGTCACAGTGATGTGTGCTGGGGAGTGTGCTGCAGCCACTGTGTACTGAGCGCAGATATGGCCTTATTTATCCATTGATTTCTGAGTCAGAGTTCCTTCCCAGTATCCAACCCTTCCCGAGTACCAGCATCCAGAGGCCCCACATCCCGTGGATTGTGGCCCCAACCTCTCTTCAGAATCAGCAACGCAGCCTTTCTCGCCTTCCTCTAAGGACCCACCCCGGACGTCCCCAGTTCAGGGTCCTCAGCCTGACGCGGTCCTGCCTCTCTAGGCCGTGTTCTGCCCCTCATGTCCCCTGTGCACCCTAGGGCAGAGCAGCTGGCCAGCTTGGAGGCTGCGCAGCGGGCAGCGGGTGTTGGCCCAGGTGCCCCCTTGGCCTCCAACCCACGGGCCGAGTTCTGGCGGCTCCGGGGTCTCCGCCGAGGGACCAAGAAGACAATGCAGCGGAGCCGGGAGGACCTGTCGGTGCTGACCAAGCAAGGACACTACCCGCCCTATGAACGTGTGGTGCTGCGAGAAGGTGGGTGGTCGTGGGAGGGACCCTCCTCCCCAGGTCACAGGGCCTTAAGGCCATTGCCTGCCTTCCCCTCGGTTCTGGTGGGTGGCACAAACCTGTGCACCCCCCACTCCACTCCCCCATCTGGAAGCTGAGGCAGAGGAATTTCTGTGAGTTCAATACCAGCCTGATCTACAGAGTGAGTTCCAGGACAGTCAGGGATACACAGAGAGACCTGTGTGTAAATAAATTACTAAAAATCTTTTTTTAAAAAAACTCAGGCATGTTTGACTCTCTCGGCACAACTGTGCTCAGTTGGCTGCAGACTGGGAGATGAAAACAGACAGACAGTATCTCAATAAAACTTTATTTATGAAATCAAACCAAGGGCCAAACACAGTGTGACTGTAGTTACCTGCCAGTCTGTTCCACATCTAGTAGTCCCAAATAGGATCAGAAACAAAACAGACCTTCCTTTGTTTGTCGGCCTTGAACTTGCAGCAATCCTCCTGCCTCAGCTTCCCAGGCTTCTGGCTTGAGCACCCTGACCCCGAACCTGACCTTGCCACTTTCTCCACTTCCCAGCCAGCTTTAAGCGCCCGGTGGTGATCCTGGGACCAGTGGCCGACATTGCCATGAAGAGGCTGATGGCAGAGATGCCCGACCAGTTCGAAATTGCAGGTAAGACATGGCATGAGAGCAGCCATGAAGGAGGTGTCCCACTCTCTCCCCAACCCGTGCCAGGGCCAGACAGCATCAATCGATGCCAGCTCCTACCCCCCACACCACCCTTGCCCAGGTCAGACAGCATTGATCAATCATAGCTCTCCCCAACCACTACACTCAATGCCAGGGCCAGACATTATCAGTAGATCTGGGCGCAGTCTGTTGGCCTCTTGGAACCAAGGCAAACACCACCTTCTCATTTGGTGAAGAGTTGTTCAGTTTTTTTCTCTTTATTTTTAAAATTCTGTTTCACTTTTAACTATGGGCATGTACGAATATCATCCCACCTGTGATTCCTGCTGCTTCAAGGCTGAGGCAGGAGGATGGCAGGTTTCAGGACAGCCTGGTCAACTTAATAAAACTCTGCATTCAAATCACGTCTCATCCCAGCATAAACTGGGCCTGTCATCCCAGCGAGTCCAGGGTCAGCACTGACTACATAATTAGAGGCCAGCTTGGGCTATATCAACTCCATCTTTTAAAATATTAAAAGGGGATACCGAGGCCCGTGGGTGTGGCTCAGGAGTGAGCGTTTAGCAGGTGGGGTGGCTCTAGGGGGCTGGGGAGTCTTAGAGGGCTCCTCGCACAGAGAACCAGATAGGACAGATTTCAGGCTCAGAGAGGCCCTTGGAGGAGGCTGGGTGGCGTTCAAAGGGCAAAGCCACCTGCAACCCCATTAGTCATCAGGAAATACAATCGCTAGGGTTGATGTGCGGAAGGACGGAAAGTCGGGCCCCAGATAAGCATCGCACAGCTACGCTGGACAACCTGAGGTGGACTATTACTTAGCCAGGAAAAAGAAAGGAAGCCCTACGGGTGGAGTCCTACTTCCCGGAGGTCCCCGTAGTAGGCAGAGCCACAGGAAGTGGGAGGGTGGGAAAGGGGCTGGGGTTGGTGTGCACACCGCGGTGGGGGGCACGGTGGATGACAGCAGCCGTGTCCCCTGCCTCCTCAGAAAGCGTGTCCCGGACTGACAACCCATCCAAGATAATCAAACTGGACACGGTGCGGGTGATCGCCGAGAGGGTAAGCACGGGCATGGGGAACCTGAGGCCCTGCATGGGCACGGAGAGATCCCCTCTGGGGCAGTGGGACAAGGAGCCCGCACTCTGGAGGCTGAGGACCCGAGTTCGAATACCCGGAGCCGTACACGCGGAGGCCGGGGGGGGGGGGACCCCTCACCTGCCCTTACCCCGCCCCGTGACCCAGGACAGGCACGCGCTCCTGGACGTCACCCCCTCAGCCATCGAGCGCCTCAACTACGTGCAGTACTACCCCATAGTGATCTTCTGCGTCCCCGAAAGCCGCCCGGCCCTGAAGGCTCTGCGGGAGTGGCTGGCCCCCGCCTCGCGCCGCAGTAGCCGGCGCCTGTACGCGCAGGCGCAGAAGCTCCAGAAACGCAGCGGGCACCTCTTCACAGGTGCAGGGGTGGGGAGGGCAGTGCGCGGGGGGGGGGGGGGGGGGGGGGGGGCGCAAAGGGGGGAGCGTAAAGAGGAAGCATCAAGGTGACGTCTGCCCCCTCTTCGCAGCCTCCGTCCCCCTGCACGGTACCGATGACTCCTGGTACCAGGAGATCAAGGCCGTGGTGCAGCAGCAGCAGGCGCGGCCTATCTGGACTGCGGAAGACCAGGTGCGGGGTGCGGAGAAGGGAGGGCATAGCCTGGTATGCCCCCATAAGTAACCAGGTTGTGGCTTCCTAGTACGCAGTGGCCAAGATTTTGCTTGAGCAAGCTCCTGCCCTTAGGGCTGGACTTTGGATCTGGGACTTTGTAGGATGCATAGAAGTTGGCCAGAGCTGAACCCCAGCAAAGGCACCGATCAGACATCGTGGCCGGGCATGGGGTAGTGGAGGCTGGCATCATTCGGGGCAGGGGCCTTGGTTTCCCCTAGGGTCACAGCACCCGGTTCCCCACAGCTGGACGGCTCATCCGAGGACCTTGATCTGCCGGGCCGCGGCCTGGATACCAGCTCTGGGGACCTCAGCTGTGACAGTCGGGCCAACAGCGACTATGAGGACACGGACGGCGGCTACACAGACGGCGAGGGCAGCGGCCCCCAGGACGCCGATGAGGAGCCCCCGGTCCCCGCTCTGGCCCGGTCTTCGGAGCCTGCATGGGTGGAAGATCACGAGGAACTGAGGGGTCACGGGGGGATCACTGCCGAGTTTGAGCCGCAGGTGGGCACGGCCCCGCGCAGTGGGACCCTCCTGTGCGCCTGGTCACCCCCCAACCCCCTCTGCGCATGCCAGCGGGTCACGGCCTTTCTCTTCCCTTCAGGCTGGCAGCCGCCACCCCCAGGGCCAGTGGCGCGAGGACAGTATGCGGTAAGCGCCCTTGAGGGACGCAGAGCTGCTCCACACCCCACGCGGTCAGGACTTGAGGACAGAGTCCTCAGGGATGAAGAAGGCCTAATGAAGGGCGGGCATTGGGGCTGTGGCTTCTGAGGATGTGTAGGAGTTTGCTTGCAAGTCCCAGCCCACAGTTAAATATCTGGCCCTGCCTGGTGGGGTCGGCAGGACAAGGTCACATCCCCACCTCCTCCTCACCACGCACCCTCACCCCCTCCCCACGCCCTCTCCACCGCGCACCCCATCGACGCCCTGCACCCACTTCTGCCCCCAGGACCTACGAGCGTGAAGCTCTAAGGAGGAAGTTCACGAGAGCCCGGGATATTGAGTCCTCCGACGACGACGCCTACGACTGGGGGCCAGCCACCGACCTGTGACCTGTGACCTGAGAGGTCACAAGCCCTGCCTCCTGCAGCCTCAGTTTCCCTTGTAGGACCAAGAGCCTCTGACCATTTAATAAACCTTTAATTTTCTTTAACATTAGAAAGTCATATAAGGCTGAGGATTCTGGGGTTCCCGTGGGCCGAGAGAGGTGGTGGCCGGGACGAAGGCACGCGTGGGCGGGGCGGTCACAGGTACACCGGCTGTTCCTGCCCCGTGAGCAGCCGGTAGGTGGCAGCTGGCATCGTCTTGATGTGAATCTAGGGGTCAGGGGTGATGGGTTAGAGGTAAGAGGGCAGGCGGGTGATGCGGTCAGGGTGATGGGGCAGAGGTGAGGTGGGGTGATGGGGTCAGGTGACACCCTCTCTCGCACCTCCCGCGCCTCGGTGAGCAGCTGGATGATACGCGCATGGGGCATGGCCACCACGCTCTGCCCGTTGACCTCGATGATGCGGTGTCCCACACGGACACCCCCGCGCTCGGCCGCACCTCCACGCAGCAGACTGCAGATCTGGGGGGAGATAAGGCGCTCAGGACCCGTCCCTGGGCTGTGGGCTAGCTTCCACCCCATGCCCGGCCCGGAGGTCCCGGCCTCACGATGCCATCCTCCACGCAGAAGCCCAGCTGCTCGCGCACATGGGGCCGCCGGATGACGGCCGTGGTGACTGGAGGGCAGTGGATGATGCTCAGTGTCACTGACGAGTGTCGCCGCACCTCCTGAGGGACCCACCGTGCCGTTTAGGCCTCCACAGGCCTCAGTTTACCCACCCGCCTATCCTCCGGGCGGCGTGGGGCTGTGATCAGTGACACAGAACCGCGACTCACACGCACGGCGGCCTGGCAGGCGGCCAGGGACAGCCCCACCAGGCTGGCCCCGTTGATGGCGGTGACACGGTCCCCGATGCTGAGGGCCCCGGAGCGCTCGGCGGGGCCCCCGTGAAGCAGGTTGGCGATGACAGCAGTGGGCAACAGTGAGCCCCAGCCGGACTCAACCAGGGCAACGCCCAGGGCCTCTCCAGGCTTCTTCTGGATACAGACCTGGGGGCGGGACCACGTGGGCGGGACTCAGAGGGGCGGGGCCTAACGAGGGCCCTTTGTAAGGCAGGGGCGGGACCAGGCTTTGGCGGGCAGAGGACTTGCGTGGGCGGGGCCCGAGCCCTCGCTTACCTCCCTGCAGTTCTGGCTGTTGCAGAAGTGGTCCAGGTCGCCATTGTGCGGGTGGCTGGCAGCATCCGAGGGCCGCGTACCCACTTGGCTGGGGTCGATCCCATTCTCCTGCAGGAACTGGCTGTAGGCGATGCTGAAGGCCTGGCCGATGGCCTGGGCGATAAGCTGGGCCTGTGGGAGGACAGTAAGCTCCTTCACATCCTACAAAGCTCCAGTTCCAAAACCTACACCTTCAAGAAACCTCAAGGTTTCTGAATCAGACTCGAGGAGGGGGCAGGGCTCGGCTGCTTACATCCTCTGAATGGAAGACATGGCACAGCATCTTGTAGAGACGCCGACTGCGGTCCTGGGGAGTGGTCCTCCTGGCCATCCGTCTCCGGGCCATCACGACCAGCACAGGCCCGATGTCCGCAATGTAGGAGATGGTCTGCAGGGCGTGGTCCATCAGGGCGTCCTGTGGACACGCGATGAATGGACTGGGGACCTCTGGAGATTCCCGAGAGTCCACGACAGCCAAAGCCTGGCCCTCTGGGTACCTGTGAGTCAGCAGCCAGCACCTTGACCCTCTTGGTGGAGATAAAGATGTCCACCTCTGCCATTGGTTGGGTCTCACCTTCGGGGGCCTGTGTGGAGAGCAGTGGGACACGGGGATTCATGGCCATCCAGGATACCACGCCTTGCAGCCCGAGCAACTCCACCCTGGCTCACCTTGACGCGGTCCACAGCCTCCTGTGCCTGCGCCATGCGTGTGCTGGGCGGCGGGCTGCGCTCCGACAGCAGCTGGGTGGAGCCCAGATATTTGGCAGAGAAGATGACACCGTCCACGAGCTCCTCATGTCCACAGGGACCTGGAACTGCGGGTGACAGCGAGGGGCACTTTCAGGCCAGGCCCGTCCTGGGGATTAGTATAGGCTAGACCCGCAGTGCTCCATCACCTGTTCTAGAAGGATCCACAGGGCTCCAGTCCCAGTGTACGCTAGCCAGCTGTGTACCTGCCGCTCCCAGAACTCCTGGAAAGCATCACCCCTACTATGAGGCACCCTTAGCAGGACCCGGGGCTCACGGACCCCTCTTCTAATCTTCTGACCGGGCTGAAAGTCAATGACTTCACTGTGGTGTCTCAAACCCCTAACATTCCAGAATTGGCCAGGGGCCAACAAGATGTCTCAGTGGGGTATAGGGCGCTCTGCGGTCAAGCATGACAACCGAAGATGGATCCCTGGGATTCCACATGACGGCGCTGAGAACCACCTCCCACATGCCGTCCTCCAAGACCCTTCTTTGTCATAAGCATAAATAAATGCAAAAAATGAAAAAAAGAAAGAGGATCGAGGTCATTTCCCTTTTCTTTATTCTTTTTTCTTTCTTTTTCTTTTCTTTTTTTTTTTTTTTTGAGACAGGGTTTCTCTGTAGCTTTGGAGCCTGTCCTGGAACTAGCTCTTGTACATCAGGCTGGCCTCGAACTCACAGAGATCCTCCTGCCTCTTCCTCCTGAGTGCTGGGTTTAAAGGTGTGTGTCACCACCACCTGGCTTCAAGGCCATTTTCCACAGTGACCTAGAATTCTCTCCAGACAACCCAGAAAATCCACAGCATCTCAAAGCCCAGGTCCTTGACAGCCCTCAGGCAATTTCTCCCAGACCCAGTAAGCTGCTCGGCTTGCTGAGACCCGCGCTATTCCCTGCCCCCGACAGCCAGAACACTCTTCCACCCTAGTCTTGGCTCCTGACTGCCAGGATCCCTTTCCATCAGAGCTGCAATGCTGACAGACCCTTCCTCAACTCCAGACCACTTTGGTTTTTAACCTTTGTTTAGCCCTGGGTCTATGGAGTTCAGGCTGATATGGAACCTGCCATCCCATCCCAGCTTCCTGTGTGCTGGGAGAGGTGGGTGCCAACACGCCCAGATGCTGATATGCAACTTCCAGGTCACCCTGAAGCTGACATAGGACCCTGTTCTTTCTGTGGTTCTAGAACGTTCAGGCCTATGCAAAACTGGGCAAAACCATCAGCTTGGACACTTCTGAGATAAATTATAGCATTAACCACAGTCCTAGAATCTTCTGTGATGCAGGCCTCACAGGCTCCCAGGCTCCTTGAATGGGCAATGAGGATTCGAACCCAGGCCCTCATGCTGGTGTGCCGTGTCCACTTAGATGCCTCCCAGCCCTCAAAAATTCGCACAAAACTATAAATGCCTTGCCAAGCAGTGGTGGCGCACGCCTTTAATCCCAGTACTCGGGAGGCAGAGGCAGGCAGATCTCTGTGAGTTCGAGGCCAGCCTGGTCTACAAGAGCTAGTTCCAGGACAGGTTCCAAAGCTACAGAGAAACCGTGTCTCGAAAAATAAAAACAAAACAAACAAAAAAGCCCTGTAAATGTTGTCTTTAGGTCCTAGGAGCACCCTTCCGCACCCAGCAGCCTGGAGCTGGCCTTGGCTGTGGACAGGAGTCTCTAGGGGACTTTCCACCTGGTACCTCATCTCTGGCCATCCAGGATCCTCTCTAACCCTGCAGCCTCACGGCAAACGTGTCAAGTTTGGAGTCTGGTTGTGGGCTGTTCTAGAACATTCTGGTCCTGTGTGAGAAGGGACACTTACCCTCTGAGACAGCAGGGCATGAGGCCAGGGTCTCGGGGCTCTGGAAGATAGAAGAGGGACAGGCCTGGGTCCCCGGGCTGCGCTGCAGGCCACCAAGGTCAGGATTCATGGGTCGGGGTGTTACCTGGGCACCCACAGGTGGCTCCTGCTGTGTCACCAGGGGCGCTGTCTCCAGCCAGGGCTCTGGGGAGCTGCTAGAACTCCTGCTGTCTGCTGGCTCTGCCGACACCCCCTCCATCCACCCTGGGGATCCTGGGTCCCCCTCTGGCTCTTCGGGCGGCTTCAGCAAACGGGGTGTGGTCTGTGGAGGATCTGGGGGTCCCGGTTGGGCAGGCAAAGATGTCTCACACCTCAGCAGACCCAGAAGGTCATCCCCGCCCGCGTCGGCTGACAAGAGCCCACCAGTGTCTGTGCTGTCCTGGGTGGCCAGGCCTCGGCCGGTGGCAATGTGCAGGGGACATGGCTCTCCCTCTGGGAACGGGCCACCCAAGTCACCAGGCAGAGCTTCCAGCTGCTGGGCCAACACCTGCACACCAGATGCATCCAGCTCCATCTCACTCATGGTGACAGGTCCTCCGGGTCCCGAGGCCCACTGGGTACTGGAGGGGTGGTCCTCAGGGGGCACCTTGGGGTCTTTGGGCTCCTCCAGTTCCATGGCTGGGAGCCCTAGGGGGTCCTGAGGGTCTGGCAGGAACTCCATGTCTGGGACCCAGGTTCAGGCTGGCATCATCACCAGGCTGAAGAGCAATGGTGCTAGGTGTAATCTCTTAGGAAAGCCACGATCAAACAGGTGACAGGTTCAGTCCCCATGGGACCTGTACAGGAAAAAAGTTCCCTTTTCACACAGGATCCAACCAAGAACTCAGGCACTGACCCCCAGAACTCAGGCTCTGATCCCCAGAATTCAGGTTCTGGTTCCCAGAAATCAGGCTGCGGCCCCCAGAACTCAGGCACTGACCCCCAGAACTCAGGCACTGACCCTCAGAACTCAGGCTGCGGTCTTCAGAACTCAGGCACTGACCCTCAGAACTCAGGTACTGACCCTCAGAACTCAGGCTACGGTTCCCAGAACTCAGGCACTGACCCTCAGAGCTCAGGCTGCGGTCCTCAGAACTCAGGCTACGGTTCCCAGAACTCAGGCACTGACCCCCAGAACTCAGGTTCTGGTTCCCAGAAATCAGGCTGCGGCCCACAGAACTCAGGCACTGACCCTCAGAACTCAGGCT